GCACATGAAGTTGTTGGTTCGAGGAATCAATGAAGGTGTGTGGATACCTGTGAAGACTGTGTGGGAGGAGCCTACGGTGGTCACAACAGAGGGGAAGAAGCCCATTCGAAGGATCCAAGACAAGGCAAGGAGTTGTTCGAGAAGTAGTTCGGCGTATGCGTCAGAGGCTGATGCAGTACACATGAAGGAACAGACAGTGTGTCTATGAAAGAAGGCTTGACATCTAAGCATCTATGTTTTAGCTTAGTATGCAATCAAGCAGGGGGAGAAGTGGTGACGTTCTGGTCCAAGGAGTGCATATCTCGTGAGGGAGAAGAGCATGGTGATGGACGTCCTGATGTAGATGGTGCATATCTCGTGGGGGAGAAGAGCATATCTATGTATGAAGATGAAGATAGTGCAAGTCTCGTGGGGGAGAATTGCATATCGAGTGTGTAAGTTTCCAGGTGAGGAAACGTGGTTGTTGAACCAGAAGAGTATTGTGCTTGATTGGCACACAAAGCTAAAAGGGGGAGATTGAAGATGCAAGTGGAGCTTGTAGATGTCAATGGTCTTCCGTGACTAACTAGGCGACGAAGTCACTGATGCTGGAGGCATTAGTCGTTACTACATAAGGCATGCGGAGTGGTGGGTTACCATGTGGATGCAGGATATGCTGAGATGGAGAAGAATAAACTAGAGGTTTATGTCTTGACGTAGTCGTTGAAGTAGTTGCTGATGTAGCGTGTGTCAGAGAGTGAACCAGGAGGCATGCAGAGTGGTAGAGACCATGTGGATGCAAGATGCTGAGCTGGCGTGGGATAAACTTGAGGAGAAAGTTTATACCGTGGAGAAAATGCAAGAGATAAACTTGGAGAGCAAGTTTATGCCTTGAGGAATAAGTACAAATCCAAGAAAAGGAAAGTGTACTTATTAATATGGAAGTTGTCCATATATCCATGTTGTCTTGGAGACTAGGGTTTCAGGACGTAAAGATCACTATAAAAGAGCTATGGAGTCGTGTGTATTCCATAAGACACTGGGGCTTTTATTATAGAGGAAGGGTGAAAATCCCTTAGGGTGTTCTTGGGTTGTGCTGAAGCAGATGCTGAAGCATACGACGATGGAGAGACAAGTTTGGGTAGATTAGGAATCTTTCAGTAGCAACTGTTAGGGTGTTAGCAGGCTGTGTAAAGCTGATAAACAGATCTTGTAATAGATTGTTTAAAGATGATTTCTAATAAAGCATAGTGTTTGCTTGTATCTATTTTGTCTCTTGGTTTATCTTCTGTAGTACTATATTGTGGTGTCATCTTTGCACTTACACTTTCTGCAATAACCAGGTTTGTAATAATTAATTAATTGATTTACAGTTTTTATAGTTTAGAAAAGATTACAGACATGCTTTGACAACGCTTACCTCCTCAACCAACATTGGAAGTTTTTAAGAAGATAACAAATGGTGTATGCCCTCCTGTTAAATTTTTTTCTAATAATCTGAAGTGGTATATGGGTGAAATGACGTGCTAAGTTTTTTTTTTTTTTGTGAACATTGACGAGTGCTAAGTTAGCATTGGATCTAGCTAGACTCTGAAGCACGTGCGTGAACCATCATCTTTATCCACCTTAGATACAGGAATAAAGAAGCCAACATGTAACTTCTCAATCGCGGCTAAACCAAAGATCTCTTTCCACTTTATTCTTGTTTTTGTGATTTTTTTTTGTCTTAGTAAATATTTTGTTTACTATGTTATGCACACGGCACACCTCAAGATGATAAACTCCAATTTCTTTAAGAAGTTTTATATCTGGTGAAACAATATTGATCTGTTTTACTAATCCATTATGCTCCCCAGTAATATGGTTAAACGAACTTTAGTTACTCCGAAAACTTTATTTTATTATATCCCCAAACACTAACAAATGAAACTGAAAACAGAAGAATAAAGAAAACAAAAGTTTTCTCCAATTGAAGAGACAAAATAAATTTTTGATTGTGTATTGAACGTGGTCGATTTTTCTGATGGTTCATTATGAAAACTTTTGGAACTTCACCACGGATATGGTAGCCCAATTGGTTTAAATGCAGGTATTAGTGTTGTGTTTTTTTTCTTTTTGAAAAAATTGGTGTTGTTATGTTTGTAGATTCGATCCACCATAGGAGGAATATTTTACACCATAAACTTTATTGCCATTGTAGTACCTGCCGGATCTCAGACTTGGGGAATTATGGACCTTGACCCAAAACCTCCTGTTTGAGAACTTTGAATCCAAGTAGTTATACTTGCAGATTTTGTTTTATCCAAATATTTTGAACTTTATTGTATATTCCGTTGTGTATATATTTTCTTAAGAATACAAGCAAAAAAGTTATTTATATCTGGTGCACTTATAACTTTTTTCTGAAAAGGTAATTAAACTATTGCTTTGAGTCTATTTTATGATCTCCAGTTAAAAAATAAAAAATTAAAGATTTGACTGGATGGTAGGACTGGACATTTTATCCGATACCCAAATCTGAATCCGAACCCGATAAAAAATCCGAACCCAAACCAAACCGAAGTAGTAAAATACCCGAACGGGTATTGAATTAAGAGAGATTGGATATCCGAACCCGAACGGGTAATACCCGAACCCGAATGGATATCCGAAAATAACCGAAGATATGTATATTTAACCTTATATTTTTAGTTTACTTCTCTTATTTTACCTAATATATTTATATAGATGTTGTACATGGTTCAAAATCATATAATGTATATATTACTGTGGACAAAGTAATTTTTATTCAATTAAAATGCATATCAAAATTTTTTATTTCATACATTAACAAAAGTTGTATTCAAATTCTCAAACCATTATTTAAATTAAATTAGTATTTTTTCAATTT